CAGCAAGCCGTCATCACCACGAGACCCGCATCCCTCGCACACCGTACAATCTAGGCAACGCCAACCGAGAGACACTATCACTTGGGACACCTGAAAAAAGAAATTAAAAACATTAATCACGAATGTGAATTAATAAAACATTCGTTTTTTTTGTTTCAAGGTCAGACGGATTTTTTTAAAAGCCCATATATAGTTTTATAAACCTACCTTGATGTTGACGCAATATGGATGGTAAGTTTGTCCACACTGCGCACACGCAATAAGACATCCTTCCGAGTCAGTTCCAATGGCACCGCACATAACGCACAAATCTTGAGTCAACACAAACTTGTCTTTGCTTGAACATAGGACTAATTTGTTGTCCACACCTGTGACAAAACTAATAGTAAGTACGTGACCTACAAAGTCAAAGACCGTGTTGCTTATTAGCAGTGAATAAAATGTATAAATGTTTTTTCCTTTATTAAAATTCTTGAGTTACAATCCACAAGACATTCATCGTGTGTTAAGTAAGTATGTGTTTATTCATATAAGTTTAACAACAAAACAACACTTTAGTTATATTTAATCTATATAATAAAACAACTTTTATATCAAATCTATCACAAATAACTAATTACCTGGGTCATCTTCTGGGGTCTTATTATCTGGTGCTTGTGGTCTTTGCAAACCGAGTCCAGGAACACCGAATACACCTCGCATTTTGGGTTTAGAACCTCTTTTCCTGCCGAACTCTAACACTGAACGCTGACGCTTCTGAAAACCTAACTTGCCCGCTGGAGGAAATCCACCTTTTAATTTAAAACCCCCAATTTTCTTTTTAGCCACTTTTGATGACACTGAGAATGGTTTTCCTTTGCCGAGGCCTATGTCGGTCTGTAACAGGAAATATCTACATAGAATAGTTGACAATCATCAATCATCAAGTCTTAGGACTGGCTTCGACGTCTTAAGAATTTTAAAATAAGTGAACAATTAAAACAAAACAAATAGAATTCTACAACTATTTTGATTTGATAGTGTAAAATTGCAAAATAACAATATATACTTATTATATAAAAACACATGCAATAAATGTAGATGTCTTTTGTTTTGTACTGAATTGACATTAAAATTAAAAAATAACTATTATATACCTTGGGTTCTATTGCAAGTGGATCCTGTTCTTGTGAATTCTCATCACCAAAGGAGGAATCTTGAGATGTCGACGCCATGTTATCTTCTTCAAATGCTGCAATATTACATAATTATTAAAAAAGTTCTTAAATAACAGCAGAAAAGCTATAATAAAAAAATACATACACCCTGATTTAGATGCCAACATGTGGGTCTTGCAGAGTGGGCATGTGTACTCATATGTTGGATTTTGTTCCTTTTTCTGTCTGTATTGTTGCGGGTCTGCCTCTGGATCGCACATGCCATGAACAAACCTACAGGAAAGATATATTTAAAGTTGAGTAAACATATATAATATATAAGTGTAATATAGTATATTATAAAGTTGAAATGATCTTAGGGCTTAACTTTGTAATTATTATATTAAGATCAAAATCATTGAGAAGAACTAACCGTCTACAAGCAATACATCTAATCATATCCCGGTACGCTGCGGCACGGTAAGCCCTGCGACACAAAGGGCAACAAGACCCCTTATTCCGTTGCTGATAGCAAGAGTCGCAGACGGTATAATGCGCGTGCCAGCGTGATGATGGACCGGCACCGGGAGACCGCGAGCCGCAGTCGGAACAGACTCGACAACACTGCATAAAATTAATAATAAATATAATTACAATATATAGTATAACAGGATCTATTATCTATATTTATATATAAGTCGGATCGGATTTTTATAGATAGTTTTTGTATAATATTAGATGTTTAAGAAATACTTACTTTACACTTCCAGCCATATTTAGGGACGGTAGCCATGACGGGGCGCAGACACATCGCGTGGTAGAGTTTGTCGCATTGCTCGCATGTAACAGCTCGAGACTCTATCCCACCCATTGCCTCGCCACGACAAACCTGACACACTCGACACGACCGACATGACCAACCTGCTCGGACACCTGTAATACATTCATAATATAAACTTCCACAAAACCACAGATGTAGACTGTACAGAGTACATAACATATCTTAAGACTTTAAAATTACTTTTAGATAGTGTTACTGATGTGTAAAGTATTATATACTGACCGGGCAACTGCGAAAGGCCTACACATGTACCGTGGTAATGTCCTCCGCAAACTACACACGTCATTAGGTTTGACATATCACCGATTGTGCGACACGTGCGACAGTCAATATCTGCAGTACCTACAAATTAATTGAAGGGTCTTAATATTCTCTTGATAGAGGGACTTCATTGTTAGAGTAATAAATAGATTTTTATCTAGCTGTTACTCTGTGCATACATGAAGTACTACTCACCAACAAGCGGTGCTTGATATAAGTGATCTTTACAAAAAGAAGACTTAGTTTGAAAGTCCATTAAACCACCAGATGCAAGGACGCATGGTAAATGATAGTATTTGCTGCAGCTCATCTGAGGATAAAAAGAAGTTATTCAATAAAAAGTAAAAAAAGTTGACAATATTTTAGATAAGACTATAGGTTGAAGATTACCTTGCATGGTATGCTAGCTCCATGCCGTAAGCAAAATGCACACTTCCGCGTTAAAGCCGATGACACAATCCCCCTCACACGGGATTCTTCCAGCTGTTCTTTATCATCATCCTGTGATGTAGAGACTTCTTCTTGAAAAGGAGGACTGAATTCAAGGCAACACCGGTGGACATATAGCATTCCAGAAGACACCAGTGATGGTAATTCTAGTTGATCAGCGTGACCAATTATGGATAATTCATCTGTGTGTTCCATATTATACAGTGGAGTTCTATAAACAATAGAAAGAGAAGTTACTTTTGATGATTGCAAACAATACTGTTATATTTAAATCTGTATTAATACATTACTGTAGACAATAATATGTTATTATAGATTTATATACACATTAATTATGTAAAATATATCGGCATTTTACATTGACTTTCAACTACTTACTAGTAAATAGAATGAATCTGTGAAACTGACACAGAGATGTATCAATGTGTGAAACATTTTACATACTCACTTGCACTTATTAAATGACTTTTGGCGTCTACTTAAGGGTAGTGCCTGCTGCAAATTAGTTTCCATCATATCCAGTGGTGGAGATGCTAATCCTGCTGGCAAATTTGAACTTGAAGCAGGAGTTGTAGGTGTGGCGGAACCAGATGCCACTCCAGGTGTTGTGCCTCCCTCTTCCCCCACATTACATGATATCTGTCTCATTTCTCCTTGGCCAAGTTGACTGCGCTCACTGAGGTTGCAAAGTGCACACACTTTTCCTGGCCTAAGGTAACCCCAATAAAAATAATATTCTATTTAAATTGAACAACTAAAACATAATTTTAAATTTTGACATTAATCTGGTAAATAAAACAACTCTTAAGGTGTTATAAAATAAAAAATTTACAAACCATTTTTCAGGTGTGTAAGGTGGTTCCTCAGGTGCTGGCATAGTAAAATCATCATCTTCAATCATGTCATCTAACGCATCATCTCTACTGGTGCGATGTCTTTTAGCACCTCTAAGTGTACCGGCTGTACCTCTATACCTAAATAGTAAAATAAAGTATAAACTTGTGTCTAATTAGACATATTATTTATGTCAAGTGAAATTGAAAGGGAATTACAGTAACATTTATTTGGTTATACAAAACTACAGAAAGTATATACCTTCTGACAATTTTTCCTTCTCGAGCCAATTTTGCTCCTTCTTTACGGGGCCTGCCTGGCCCCCTCCGTCCCGATGTAAAGAATGGACGAGTGTAGGTTTGGTGGAAAAAGGCTGTCTGTGATATGGCAGCATGTGGAGATGCCGGCTCTTCTCCTCTAGGTGAAGACGCACATGACGTCGGAGTCGATGCTGGGCCTGCATAAAAATCTGTAGAATATTGCAAAATGGGAAACGAAAATAAAAAAAAATAACAAGCTTTGAAATAAAAGGAAGCAGGTGCAAGTTGACAAATTAAATTAACATCGCAGTCAAAATTATACAAAGTAGAAATAGGAATTGTACCTGAAGACGGCTGGGCTTCACATTCTTCGTCAGATCCATCGTCGGCTAAGGAGTCAACGTCCAAAACTCCTTCATCTGGTACGTCCATCTAATAAAACATTATCCATCAACAGTGTTGAAAGACGAAACTAAAAACTTATCCCAAACAATAATGATATCTGACCGCCATAATGATCGACAAGTGGATACCTAGTTAAAACTTACCGCAACGCTTTGCGATGGACTTGTATAAAACCAAACTCAGGGAATCACTTTTAAATATTTTTTTAAAAACATTTCTTTTATTTTTTAAAATATCATTAAAATAATAAAACACAAAATTATATGTACAACACTCGCTTCTGATAGCAAGTGCAAACGGAAATAGTGTTGTATTTGAACAATGGTTGATGACAACAATGTAGTGAATTGTAATTTTCCGATTTTTATTCGAAGCGAATAAATTTACACTAATTAATGAATTCTATAAAATTGAGGTGTTTTGTAATATATTAATTATATGTTGGATTCTATATTAGACTCGTTTAATATTCATACATATTTATTAGCAAAATAAGAATTAGTAAAAATCGGTAAGATACATAAACTGTAGGCCTTATTAATCCACTTTATATCTTTGCTGTGCTTAGTGGTAGTCTGTAGTCGTAGTAGTAGTTTTATTTAGTATAAAACCCACAGATAAAAATATACTGCTCCAACTGTTTGTCTGTGGAAGACTTCTTTAATCTATGTGATTTGCGTTTTTTATTTTGTTAACGTGTCATTTTGACTACACCTACCTTGTAAAGAACAATTTAAGTGCACCACTACAGACGAATTCAATAATTCTAAAGTTAATACTTAAGTTTTAACTCGGTCGTTAATTATTTTTATTATGAAGTTATTAGAACTGGGAGTGCTGGTACTTATATGCTTTACAACAAATAGTAATTCAACATTGTTTGAATCGGATTCCTGTTATTCTTTTGGAAGCGGCAATGTATTTCCCGGTGGAGCGAGAAAAATTGAACATAATTTGCAATTTACTAAGGCTATGAGTAAGCTTCTATGTTTTTATTGTATTTGCAAGGATGAATTACAATTCTGTTAATATTTATCTTTATCTCAGTTTTTTAAATTGTATATTGATACGCTAAATTAAATGACCGGCGGGTTATCTGCCCACAATGTTTATCTCTTAATTCTTTTGCTATCATCAGATAATTTCCCTTAATTATTGTAATAATCGATACAATAAATGTTGTTGTTTTTTTGTCAAATGTAAATGTTAATTTTTTTTAAATTCATTTATTTCAGTCTCAAAACCAGCTCCAAAATGGGAGGCAACAGCTGTTGTTAGTGGTGAAATTACACAACTAAAATTATCAAGCTTTAAAGGCAAATACTTAGTATTTTTCTTCTATCCTTTAGACTTGTAAGTATAATTAAAAATTATTATGTAGCACATAATTGTAAAATTCAAATAAAATATATGATAATAAATACTATATTTTTACAGCACATTTGTGTGTCCTACTGAAATTTTAGCATTTTCGGAGAGAATTGAGGAGTTTAGAAAACTGAATACAGAGGTTGTTGCATGTTCTGTGGATTCACATTTTACACACTTAGCATGGATAAACACCCCACGCAAAGAAGGAGGTCTTGGTAAAATTAACATTCCTCTTTTGAGTGACTTAACACATTCCATTGCTAAAGATTATGGTGTGTATTTGGAAGATTTGGGACATACCTTAAGAGGTCTATTTATAATTGATGATAAAGGAGTGCTAAGACAGATCACAATGAATGACCTGCCAGTAGGTAGATCAGTAGATGAAACTCTAAGATTGGTGCAGGCCTTCCAGTACACGGATAAGCATGGAGAAGTATGTCCTGCTGGTTGGAGACCTGGTCAGGATACTGTAAGTATAGAATAATTTAAAACATGACTTGAGAACTGAACACAATTTATTATTTAAGCTATTATATTGAAAAATATTATAGTAAAAAATCGGAGCTGTCAAATGTAGGTTTACTGTCCCATAGTAATTTATCACTTTAGTGAACAGATAAAAATTCTTTTTTTTTTTCAGATCATTCCCAATCCAGAAGAGAAGCGGAAGTATTTTGAGAAAGTTTCTAACAATTAATAACAATATGAGTTTTTTTAATCAAATAAGTGGATTTTAAACTATACAAAAAATATTTGACATATTATGTATAATCTCCATGGGCATTTATTACTTTTACATAACTTAGTGCCGGGAATTTAAATAGGGTTAATCTATGTATAACTCATTTTCTTTAGTCTCCTTTTATGTTTACTTCTTAAAAGCATTTTTTCCTTTGGAGTCACAATTTTTTTATCTTGCTTTTAACTTTTGTAAATGCGTGTACATCTAAAAAGGATTTGAAGGGAACATGTTATAGGAATTACTTTTTTTACTTTATTATGAGATTAATGCATTTTTTAAGGCTTTTACACAAAGCGCATTACGTAATGGATAGAGTTTATATATACGTAACTGAAAGAACATAAAAAATCAAGACATTTATTTTTGAGACTATTTTATATAGCATATTATATTAAAATAAAAATTTAAAAGCAGTTGAGTAAGTTGTAGCAGTGAAAGTTACTTTTGAATAACTTGTATGAGCATGTATTGAGTACGAAAGTCATCACTTTGGTTTTTAAGTTAATAATCTAATAAAAGTCTGACATTTTAATATTTATTTTATTTATATTTTCTCTTTGCCCTCCATTCAGCTGTCTTTTTAACTCTTATAATTAAATAAGGTACTTAACTTAATCCTAAAGTCCAAATCCGAAAAATCCCGTTATCCCTTTATACACGACACATAAGTGTGTCTGTCACATACCCATAACATACACCGATGATACTAATCGATTTTATTTGCAGGCGTAGATGTTTAGAATATCTTTGTGCATGTCCAATACTTTATTTCTCGTGATTCGAACTTTGCGCTGAACGCAATGCTAGGCAACGCGTTAAGTATTGTTTTGTTGTGTTATTACATTTATGTTTTAGTATATACATATATAGATTTAGGAAAATATAACATTTTAGTTGGAGTTACAATCGCCTATTGCGTATTTATGAGCAAATCGAAAAAGTCGTCGAATGGAAAATACGTATTATAATAATACTGCGTAAGTATGTATAAGTAAAAATGAATATTTTTCACAATGTTGGAGTATAGTATTATCGTTCCTCCGTGTGGAAGCTTCGGTTCCAGGGTGGCGGTGGAGGGAGGGATATATATTTATTTATTAAAACACACCCACTTCAAACTTTCACATAAATTATTATATTTGCACTGTTAACATAATTTTGAATAATAAACGTACAAAGATCCCGACGTGTTTCGTCCGGTGTGTCGAGAAGAGAATACCTTGTTTTTTTTTTTCATTTGTGGCAAGAAGAATTAACTATTTGCCAGTGTCAAGTTAAAGGCTGTGGTTAAAGGTAGGGAAACTTTACACGTAGAAAAAGGATATGACGGCTTATACATATAATGGCTTAATTGACTCGCCGAACTTGCTTGAACTTTTAAAAATACGCGTTTTTTCAGACTACAAAACCAGGCATTGCGCCCATTATTCCATATTCCTCGATCTAACACTAACTATTTCAATAACTCAGCTATGCATCGCCTACCCAGTATTTACAATAAGTATTACAGTGATCTCAACATATTTCATCTTAATAGATCGCGTACGAACAATAAAATTAAACGCTATCACAGTCAGAAAATTTCCATGACGGATGATAAAGATATAATGTAAAATTTATGCACTACTTAAAATTCTCTTATCTATTTCCCTGGAAACTTAATAAGTAGATTGGTAGACTTTTATTGTTTAAATTTAGTCCTCGGAATGATTTTTTTTTCTTCTTGATTTTGTGTTCTCTATCATAATGTGCTGTTGAGTATATGTACAATATATTATATGTGTATGTACATATATATTGTGCAAATATTACATGCCATAAGATATTAGCAATGTTTGTAAACCTTTTATACTCAGCTTAAGTATTTTACACCATATTCCTTTTTGTGCTCTTTACCATAGTATTTTTTTTAAATTGTGTAATCCTGTTTTGGCTAATGTTTAGTATTAAGTATGTTTAACCTATGTATACTAAGTAGCTGTGGGAATACCAAATAAACAATGAATAAATATGATAGCTTTCAATCAAAATGTATGAATAATTTACAAATAACGTCAAATTCGTCGACGAGTATTGTCATACTTGAAATAATTATATTCGTTAACTAAACAAACTCGGTACAGGTATGCCTTTATGCTCCATAAAATAACTAATTCATTTGCGGGGAACTGTATTCGTATGTATAATACATTACCAGTTGAGGAGGAAATTTATCAAAAAATAATTTCCAAAGTCAAAAAAATAGATTGTCCCAAAAGGCGTATTATTGTTTAAAAGACTTCTTTAATGATAGGGCTCCCTGGCAGTGATATGAATTGCTGCTTAGATCTTTAATTTCACAATAATGTATTAGAACAATCCAGACTGAGTTTCTTGGGCGTTCTTCTCGGTTATATTACCGATTTAATATTGTTTTTATGAATCTAAAGAGTTTTTATAATTTTACAGAGAATAAAGTATATTTTATTTTACCTTTCAATTTTGACGGTTGTCTACATGAATGAAAAGTATAGAGCCATTATTGTTTGAAGTTTATAGGTATAATAATGACACTTTTAACGGGTTGAAATGCGAAATATATTAGTTCATTTAATTTAACTTATTTACAGGAGCCGCGCCTTTATGACCTGGATGCTGTGAGCAGAATTTGGGTTATGAAAATACTACTTAAGTAAGAATTAACTAAGATATTTCATTTAAATAAAACACGGCAAAGTGTTTTATTTAAATGTGTACTACTCGCGTAAACTATAGACAGTATTTAAGATATTTCATTTTATTTGTCTTTTCTTTGTCTACTTATTTTTAGTTTTCACTTGCATCCGTTCAATCCATCACACCTTTTCGCAATTTGAGTGGAAAGCTATCTTGATTGTTGAGAAGATGACCTCTGATAAGCATTTAAAGACGAAAGCTGATATTGATTTGCTTATATATAAAAATGGTGTTTGGAATACATATCGATATATTTGTTTGAAGCTGTCGCAGATGACATTCAGTTGAGAAGATGGTAAAAACTTGTATCGTCGAGTGACTACGTAATCTTCGATTGTGTCTAGTCATGTTCGGTTATTACCTATGTACCATAATAAGGTTTTTTGGCCATATAGAATCCTGTCAGGTGTTTTATAAGTAATACCGTCGTACTGGCTCAATTCACAATTGCGTACCTTAGTATTGGGGTACCTAAAGATCAAGTGGTTTTAGGTTCCGGTGCAATATGATTGAATTGTCTGGGCATAGTAAGGTAGTTGGCGTAAATAAATATTCTGGGTAATATTCAGTTACATAATTGTCGGTACTATCAAAATGCTTTATTTCTTGGGCTGAAGACATTATTATGGGATGACAAATCAAATAATAATAAAAAAACGATTCCTAAAATGTGCTCAGTCCACAGCTATAAATCTGTTAACAATTTCATGGTATTCTCGCTTCATGCATAGGAGCTTACGTATTGTTTGACTATTACAAAAGCCATTATTTTCAGACAGGTGAATTAATTACGTTTACACGCGTAGGTATTTCAAATATGGTAGAACGAACCAAGTTATTGTTTCTGAAATTAATTTTAGTTAGGGGCAGGACTCAAATCACACTCGGCAAAGGTTTAAGCTACTGTGTTTATAACATTTATACTATAATTCAATGAAAAAGCTTTAAAAATATTACAAAACTCATTTTATGTACGCGTCTTTATGTTCGATAGAAATACTACCTACGAGTTTTTCATATTATACACGACCTGGCTAGACCGATACTAGACTCTTCTACGTAATACTTTATACATGGTGTCCATTCTTCTAGACGTAACATAAAATTCACTTCTTTACACTAGTTGGATACAAATTTATCATAATTTGCGACTTATATCTCATACCAATTTTTGTCAATTGACCCCTGAACGTTAAATACATTCTAGGTTTTTATCTAATTGGGCAAAATAGTTGCAAAGGATATTCAAAATATTAAATTTATAACTATAAAAAATTTTAGAAGTATTTATATTTATTGTAGATTGGAGTCTACTTATCGATTGTTACTAGGACAACATGTATTTCAAACTAAGTACACCTTTATCTGCCGATAACAATCCTGCAAAAACATCGGAATCATGGTTCGTGGCGATTCAATGATAGACTGCTGTGACGTCAACATTACACTCTAAAAAAATGATTAAAATGTTATTTTGCTGATGGGGGGTGTTTTTAAAGGCTACAAATTTATACGACAATCATTTTTAGTTGACCATTTTACGAGTAGTAGAGTCAGTTCAGAGAATAGTTTTATTAACTTATTATGTCAGAACTATTATATACAAAAATGAGGAACGGCTAGAAAATTAAATTTCATACGGAGTTCATGACGCATCTTGTGATCTAATATTCCTTTATCTATTGCGGAAAAATATCGATATAGGTTTTCCCAGTGATTGTATATTTTTGGTCCTTCGTATCACTAAGATCTAGCCTTATTAATTAGTCAATAATTATAATTAGATTTTACGAATCATATAATCGATAAGGTTAATAGACTTTTCTAAAAAACTCTTAAACTTATTACTTAGTAGTCTCTATAGAATTAGTTTAAATAAGTTAACTTATATATTTTGCGTTTTAAATTACATACTTCGTAAAAAATCAAAAAACGTAATCCTATTGTTTCCATAAACTTGTACCGTTAAGTATATCAATTTTTTTAACAGCATGAACCTGCCGATCGCTAGTTTGGTGTCAATATACACTAATTTAATATTAACTAACAAATTATTTGTTTAATTATCAATAGAATACATATAACCTTATCAATTACTTAACAATTTGAGCAGTGATAGCAAGAAAATTAATGAGATCATAAATCCGCTATCAAATAACTTGCTGGGTGCATATCAAAAATAATTTTCAGCAGAAAGTACATAGCTATATAATTGAATACTGCAAACGAAAGGGCCGTATTACCTTCGTTACCCCCATATTGTTCGGTCCCCACCACTTAGTTATTGATCGCACCTTTTCTAGTTTGCGCTCTGTTCGTTATAAACCGGTCTGACAATTACCATCAGAATTTTGTTTGCTGAATCAATAGGTAGTTGTTTTTATAGACATCGAAAATTTTAAGCAAATCATAAAAGGTCATCTACTAGCCACAACGGTCGCCAACGCGTCGCAGGTCAGTCAAGACACGTTAATAATAATTCACATTTGTTCAGTGCACTGTAATGCATGTTTGAAGTGAATCCAATTTGAAATCTGTGTTTTAATTAATAATGAGGAGTTTGCGTGCAAGTGTGGTTTATGTAGCCACTATGACCGTGGTACTCTCGTTATACCCCCTCCATGTTCTCTGCTCACAGATCGATGACAGGTATATCTTAGATAAATCACGTGAACAGATAATATAGATATATCACATGTTTTCCGTTCGTTACCACCCATATAAACGATTGGTTTACAATCCACTCGGCAAATATTGTGAAGCGTGTGAACCAATAAAGTTGTATCATATACTTATTTCAAGCTATAATAAGCATATTTTTTGAGGTCTAATTGAAATTTTCTATACTCCCTTTATTTTGAGGTGCGATTTTAAGTTAATGGGTAATTTATTAAGCGGGTATGTACTCAAATTAAAATAATCATCGAAGTTATGTTTTGTTAGGATGGAAAAGACCGGCCGTGTATGCAATATTTACAAACAGGTTGTTGTAAATACCGGTATGGGGTTTCCTACGTATGAATTTAATTGAAATAAAAACAGAACTTAAAGTCTAAAGTGAAAACATACTGATTATTGTAATTAAAGAATTTTATCGTTATACTTTTAAAACACCGCAAATATTAAAATGTTCTGAAACATTATTGAATAATTGTACAATCTATTTATATTATTATTTATAGCCCTACGTTATTTCAGTTCAAACATGGTCGACCCAGTAAGAGTAGTAAGTTATGAAGATATGTTAAAGGTGATTCATGAGCCTGAAAAGGTTATCATCGATGTTCGAAACCCCGACGAAATAGAATCAACCGGCAAAATCCCGTCCAGCATAAATATACCACGTAAGTATAATTTAACAGGTCATGCGAAACATCTACGTGTTAAACATCAAGGCCGAACTGCTTTGTTCCATAAAAACACGTTTTGCTTAAAAAACTTTAGTTATTTTTTGTTATGTAGTTGAGGATATACATAATAATTGTAAGACTCCTCTATTTTTTATATTACCTGTATTAGCTCGACTAAATACCCGCAATATTTTGCCGCACATTTTAAGTAGGAGCGTAAAATTTGTTTTTATCGTTTTTAGTGGGTAGTGTACAAGATACACTAGCCTCGATGTCTGATGAAGAATTCCAAAAGCAATATCAACGAGCAAAGCCTTCGCCATCTGACGAGCTGATATTCTACTGTAGATCTGGCAGACGTTCGACGGAAGCTCTTGATAAAGCCTTAAAACTGGGATACAATAAGTATGTGAAATTAGTTACCTAGTATTCGTTACGATTGCTGTGTGAGAAGCCTGATAAAATAATGCTTATCTTCAGTTTCTTTGGTTTGTTTAACATTCTCTCAGCCATGTACCTTACTATTTCAATGGCGTGACGTATACTCGTAATAACAATAGTAAAAAGTTATGTGGGATGACGGCATGAATACAATTTGTTTACTGATAAGTGTTATGTATTTCGATCAACCTGTTCACCAACTGTTCCCTTGATTATCGAATAATTTTCAAATTACCCTTTGTTTCAGATCAAAATCGTATTTAGGCAGCTGGGAAGATTGGTCCAGCAAACAGAAGTAAACCGGAATGTACACGTGCGATAAGAATATGATATACAATTTTGTAATAGTGCCTCAACTCCTCAATAAAATATAATAAGTAGTGGTTTGTTTCATTATACCTATAATCTTAGCAGATTTTCTATGTCTATCACCATCTAGACAAGCAAAGTTTTACCCAAATGACCTTACAAAGCGCGAACGTACGTAAGAATCATGATAAAACTTACCTGATAAACTAACCTTGTAACATAGTAATTCATATCCATATCTATTGTAGGTAGGATTATCAGCCCAAAATCAATAATAATTATTTTCAATCCTAGACCAATCTACCATTGAGAAGCATGTGTTAAATGTGTATCCTACGGATTATTGTACAGAAATATTTGACGGCAATGACTGATCCCGCAAAAGTTGTAAAGTATTCTGACATGTTGAGGATCATTCACGAGCCGGAGAAAGTAATCGTGGATGTTCGTAACCCCGAAGAGTTGAAGGAAACTGGAAAAATACCTTCCAGTATGAACATACCATGTAAGTAAAATCTAATTTAGATCTTTGCTCTAGGTTATATAACTACTAGAATAGATTTTGAATTAACAAAATATTATACCAAATACATATATAAAGAAATACTATTTTAAAAAGTATGACATACTCCTTGTGTTCTTTGTTTTAAGTGGGAAATTTACGCGATGCCTTATCAATGTCTGAAGCAGACTTTAAGAAACAATATTTACGAGAGAAACCGACGCAATCAACGGACATCATATTTTATTGTAAATCGGGAGTAAGAGCGTCAAATGCACGTGATCAGGCCCTGGAGTTAGGATACTCAAAGTAAGACCCAAATAATGCTAAACTTTGTAAACGTTCTGACTGCACGTGGACACTTCCTTTCCGATGAAAGGTACATCGTGCTTAAAACGGTATGACATGGAAACGAGTAACCTTTTGCAAGAATGGTGAATACAACTGGAGCCCAAGCATAGGGTTTCATTTTTTTGAATCGATGATGATATTATTATTGTCTTAGAACGTTAAAGCCAATAACATTGTTGCTGTTTATTGTAGTAAGTACATTCCACTCTTGTAAACGTCGTTCAATTTGAAATCACGCAAAATACAATTTTACAAGCAGTTTTAATATTTTCAGATCTTTCCATTTTATTATGTAACTTAAGTATTAAATTTTGTTCCAGATCAAAAACTTATATTGGCAGCTGGACGGATTGGTCAAACCACTGACGAAAGAAAATAAAGTAATAATAAGACCTTACAGTTATTATTAGGTTTAGAATTTGACTAACGTGAGAATAAAAGAAAAATTATATAACATTTTCAAGAAAAGTAAATATAAGATTGATTTAAAAAAGAAATATGAAATGTAATCTTTTAATTATATTACAATGTAAAGATAAAATCTTCGATAATCATGAGTCTATGAAAAGCAAGTCATGAAATGATATTTAGTTGCCTGACAATCACGATATAAAACAGAACAAATAAAAATAATCATTTCCAAACACAAAAAGCAGCATTCTATTTACTAAAAGTGTCTAGATCTTTATATAAAGCTGTGTTTACTGCATAACCTTATTTTCGATCAGTTCCGTCGTCGTCATTGAGAAATTATTTTGTCCTTTCATAGTCACAAATAGAAAACATCCTCAAAGCGTCATTGTTTGTACAGACAAAAAATAAAAAAGACAAACTGTGTACAAATTTATTTAAACATTAGTAAAAAACATAACAAGAAAATTACTGACCAACTATTAAATGCATGATTCGGATTCATCTAATCACATATTACAGGGTAACATTCAGGGTATAATCAATCTTTATTATTACTAGAGGGATTTGTTATTGTGACTTATTTGCCCAATCTGCGTAACTTCCAAGATAGTTTTTTACACTGCAAGTAAAGAGATAGTATAGTATTTAGCTGACACATTTATGACAATAAATACTTTGTTCAAGTAAGTAAAAAGTAGATAGCCTTTGACTGAACATTTTACACTTAATATTATAGGATGTTTTAGAGCATGCCATAAGGCAAAGCCATGAAAGCAAAATGTACAATTTACTATTAATACTTACTTTTTGTAACCCAGATTAATAGCATTTTGTTGAGCCATACCAGATCTCTTACCAATCATACAATAGAAAATTATTTCCGTGTCTTCTGTGGGTTTTGGCCTATTATACAACTTATTGAATTCATTGTCTGGCATTGTACTCAAGACTGGAGTTACATTACCCACTGCAAACATATAAAATTTATTTAACGCTGTAATTTACCATTAATTTTCCCACAATATTCTATATTGTATCTTAGATTTATTATTTATTAATTATATTTTTAATGTAATTATAAAATATAGGGTATAATTTTAATAGCCTCAAGCTTTAAAGAAACCACATAACAATGAGAATAAAAAATATTTTACAAAGTTAACACAGGTAGCAGTGTTCACTGTGTGTTTTCTCTTTGCTTGTAAGTAAAGTCTCCTGATTAACTAAGATCACTTTAATAAAACATACTAACATGACAATATTTAAGTTCAGACATAAAGATTTTAAATAAAATATTTCATTCTATTGAAGCAAGTCTTCTTATTAAAACTTACATGGTATATTAATGCTGTTTGGAATTTTTCCATGTTCTTTAAGTTCTTCAAGCTCACGCACATCTATGATAAGCACATTGCGGTTTTCTGTGGCCTTTTTAACATAATCAAAATCTACTGTTACATCTTCTAGTTTTATTGTTGAATATAAGCGGCAAATACCTTGTTTATTCGCTGTTAATCTAATGAAATCTAAAACGAAAAACCATTAAACATTTTTAAGACAAATCGAAGCTTTTTTTGCTATAAAGTTTTAAAATCTTTTAATATCACCAAATTCTTTCGAGGATTTATTTGATAACATACGTGGTATCGGTCCGTTTCTAGGTGATGTAACAAAATTTTGTTTGGATAATTTAAATAATGTATACGCCGGTGAAGCTTGTCGATAAAATATTCTACCCAGCATATTGATAAAGCAAATTTATTCTTTACTAACAAGATATAATTTTTTTGCAATTGATATTAGCGTATTTAAATACAAATTAGGATTACAATCTCTATATCAGTACTATATTGGTTCCTATCACTAAGATTGCTATTACTTATTACTATTACTTTCAATATTTAGAATTGGTTGTCTTTAACGTCACCTACTAGTTAGTTGACACATAGTTTTTTTTAATAATATTTTATAGCCTGGTAAGACCTCTATCCCTCACTACAAGGTAAATTGCAATCTTCCCTTAAAACTTACCTTACGTAAATGTCAAACTAAGGAAATTTTAATCTGTGCATTTTCGTAAACTCATATTTGGAATTTTTATTAATTTTAGCAACCCATTACTCCTTTTATACACTTTAATGTCATCGAATATTCCTCCTCCTACTCGTATGTCCTATCTATGTATGTATCCTAAAAAAACATTTTAAGATCATATCTCATTTTATATTTAATAATAATGTAAAATGTAGTGTTTATATATTTTCATTTTATCTTTTTTAGTTTATGCATATATCGTAATATATGAGAAAAAGCTCATATGCTCATCAGTCATATGCTTGAAAAGTTACCCTACTTTTAACATTTCATGAACATCGTTTGTTTACCAAAGATATCAAGTAAGAATATATGGTCTATACAGAGAGTACGTAGAGATTTATTACATCTGTGATTTGTATATTCGCTACTAAACTGTTTACCTATATCTGTGCGTCATTCTTTGACAATGTTCATAGGTCGTAAAATTCCAAAAAAAATATATGTTCTTTGCTTTGACATTTTATACTCATAATTTTTTTTTATTATTTCATTCCTACATTTTTATTGCAAATGTTACAAATTGTAAATTTTTACTAATTTTTCAGTATCTTATATCCGTAAACATAACCGTGTGTTAATATTGTGTATGGCATAATATTTTGCTAGATATTTAAGTGTACCAGTTGCATATAAATGGAATAGTGGAATAGCACGTATCTATAAGTGTTAATAGAAAGAACATTATATTAATACCTTTAATGAGCTCCTCGGAAAGGTTTGATCTAAATTCGACTGATATGACGACTTAAGATTAAGGAAAGTGATGTGTTCACTTAAAATTCTGTTCAAATTGTGTAATTGTACGGATGTACTGAGTTACCTGTAAATAGTTGCGAAAAGTGATAAATATGGGTTCTATGCGACCGTCCGGACGATTTCTATCGTTTACGAATAACGTCCAAAGGACGCAAAAACAGCCAGGTATGATTATCCATAGTTGTAGAAAATGTAATATTATGATCCATTGAGTAAAACATGTCAGCAGCAAAATGCCTTTCTAATGAATCAGAGGCACAATGCCCTTGTTATAGATTGTTTTGCTTTGACAATAACCTTTAAATTGCTGACTACACATAAACCCACAGATGATCATTTTCAAGGTCTTGTGTTTTTAGTTCCAAGCAATTTTGCTCAAAGCTTTTCTGGCAGTGAAACAGATGTTTCTACATCAAATGAAAATTTGTCTCGGGAGGAAAGATATGTAGTAAGACATACGGCAAGAGTAGAGCCACAGGGCCAGGAAAATCAGAGCCAAAACAACAACAATAGGAACTCATTGAAGGTAACCTCATTTGTTATTCAATTATATAGGTCATTCTAGTAAATAATGATGACTTTAAAATTTATTATTATTAACAACAATACACAAGAACTAAATATAAAATTAGTTGCTTAGTTAACAAAAATTCTCTCATGTATATACAGGTTCTAGGCCGTCATATGTACTTTATATATATATATATGATATATTGTATCTACTTCAAAATAATACATGATATTTAAACAACCTCATTGTATATACTGCCTTAGAATTATGGATGTTTATAAATGAAATATTTTTTACTTGATACTTTTTATAGGACAATGTTACTGGTAGCAATCGTAACTCACTGAAGGAGTCTATTGGAGGTGGAAATAGCAACAGAAGTTCTTTAGATGTCTCATCATCCTCATACAATACTCTTATTATTCATAACCAGGATGATTCATGGTCTTCAAGACCAACACCTATTCGGTAAGAATATATGAAATACAGCCAAAGTTCACCACTTGCTAATTTATAATATAGATTTAAAGGTAGAATTGTATTGAGTTCACAGAGAACTATACAGTTATATTGATATACAGCAATATCATACTTGTTGCTTATTAGATTTTTTTTGGATTTATGATAAAAATAAGGCCCTCTTGATCTAACAGGTAAATCAGTGAACTTAATTTTTTTTCTCAACTTTCTTTTTTGATTCTCATCTCACTTTCCTAATAGATTACTTATCATGATTGTAGGTATCATCAAACAATTAATAGTGAACATCAAATTGTAATGAATTACTATGTTTCTGAATTAGTAACATATTTTTAGGGAGCATGAAAGAAGTACAAGTGATGTGAAACATTCTAATACACAATCCTCTCCATATCACACACTCAAGAAATCAGATGTTAAAAAGCCAAGTGGCATCCCATTACCCAAAATACATAAGCAGCAAGAAGTGACAGCTAGTGCTAATTACATAGATATTGGTGGACAGAGGATATACACCAGTCCTCCTGATCAAGGTGTTCAGGTATGCACTAATATAAATGATTTTTTTCTTGTCATACAAGATGGCTCTTCTGTCCAGATCTAAATCAAGGTTTAACTAGGAAAAAATTTTGGATGTCTTGAAAACCTTGGGCCTAAATTTTATAAATATAATTCATTTTATTTAGTTCTAAAGTCCTAGTCCTACCAACAAAATTTAAAGGTTTTTTTAAGTGACATTTAAAAATTTAAAGTAGTAATATTTAATAAAAGCACTTTCTCATTCATAATTTTTATATTACATCAAATTTATGTGGCCTAAATGCAGGAAATAACCGAAATCCCTGATGATTTCCTAAACCAGTCATCAGTTTTGAAGCATCTTGCAAAGGAGGTCGCCCAGTCTCCAACGCCCCGAAACACGACGCCTCCCGCCTCGCCCCACTCCCCTCGTGGACCGACGAAAACTAGAGAAGAAAGAATAAAAGGCAAGGCTAAAGCGAAATTAAGCAAGGAAAAGCTGAATTTGTCGAGGTCACAACCTGACTTGACCAGGTAATCAATAATAAACATCATGTTAAAATGTTATAAGACTAAGATATTTCAGCTTACAACAAGTCAACACCTTGCTTGTCTGTCCTTTATTATAAAGAAGTCTATATTTAAGTTGCTCAAAGGTCTTTTTAATTAACTTTCTATGAGAAAAGGAATTTTGATTTGTTATTTAGGAAAAAGATCTCAAGCAAATAACTGCAATTTAAAGGATTTCTTACACTTGTTGTCTACAACTAAAACATACCTAATGTTCCTAACTTCAGCGTCGGTGTCCGTGCCGTACCAGGTGGTTCAGAATCAAGTGGGTGGTGTAGTGGGGGTGAAGGATCACTGGAAGAAGATGATGCATTTACAGCTGTGCTTGATGCCCTTGCTGCTGAAAACCATCAGCTTAAACGACAGTTGGCAGATGCTTGTGAGAGAGTTGCCAAGACTTCTAAGGTAGATAAATTAATATCATAACTTTTTGACTGTAGTAACAAGCCCTTTAAGGATTTGCGCCACAATAGTATATAGTATATATATATATATATATATTGTAATATTGACACCCCATGCTATGGACATTTGAATTTTGAGCTTATCCTAGTTTTGATAAAGAAATATTGCTGAAAAATACAAATAACACCCGCAAACTAAAAATAACTCGTGAGATTACTCTGTGTGACCGTGCGATTCCGCGTACAACTAATTTTGATCGTGAGTAATGTTTATTTTCGATTGTATCTACGTCACTTGTAGTGAATGAAACACCGAGTACATTGCACTTCTTTCAATCTTCAATCATGATTCACCTAAATCTTAACCCTGTTATATTTTTATAATGAAAATTTCAAAAAATAATGTTAATTAACGAATTGATTAATTATTTCAACAGTTGTTGATTGGCAGAACAATGGTTCTGTCTAGTTCAATCACAATTAGTGGCTCAAATAGTCTTCACTGAATTGTTAATTGCCTTGTAGCAGAATTAGATTGCCTATTTGTATTGCCTACTGAACTGATTAAAATAGTTTTAGCATGATGTTTCAATTTAAAATCGCAACAAAAGCTTGCTATCACAGTTTTATGGTTTTTATGTTCATGGCTTCTTGTATAAAAAAATCGGTTACATCCCAAATGACCAAAACAAAGTGTACAAATACAACTTTCAACCTATGTAAAAAAAACTCCATACGAAATTAAAAAAAAAACATTCTGGATTTGGACATTTCAATATGATGTATTATATATATCTGTTATTGTATTTACTGGGCCAGATATTTTATAATGTGTACCGTATTTTTAGTTAGAAGAGGAGGTAGAAAAAGTTCGCACTGCACATGAGGATTTAGTGGGTTCCTGTGAACGAAGGGAGCGGTTGGAGAGGGCAGCACGTGTGCGGCTTCAAGCTGATTGCAGACGACTACACGAACTTAATAGAGCGCTTAAGCATCAGGTCCGTGCTATAAATCTATTAAAAACAATTCCCTATTGCTTATAAATATATCTTTACTAAAAATGGATGAAATTAAAAACAATTGTTGCAATTAACAAAATATAGTCTTACCTTTTAAATACCGCACAATGTTAGCTGAGTAGATTTAATCAATGTCTTAATTTATCTTGTTTTTATATGTAGTAATTTGGATTTTCTATAAATATTTCTAATTTCTCTTTCTGTCTTTTATGTATCTATATAATAATACAAATAGCTACCTACGATTAGGATGCCCACTATACTGAATTGTAAAACTATAATAGTTGTCGTGTGGCATATTGAAAACTATAACTTGTAACTGTTGTTAATTATTTTTAAAGGTGGAACTGCTGTCGCAAGGAGTGCGCTCAGATGCTGACGGTAATAGCGACGCACTCCGGAAGGAGTTACAGAACAGGGAGATGCTGATCGCGCAACTCATTACACAGAGTATGTATGTCCAGTGGTGTTAAAACAAAAGACTAACAAGTAGTGTTGTTCCTCCAATCGAAACCATGCCTGGACACTGGCACGTTAATTAAGTAGAAAACGCATTTAACTATTTGTAAATCAGTGTCTGATTTTATTAGATATTCTAATTGCTCATCTAATAACCTCAGGTCTGGTGCCAGGTAAATTAAAAGTAGCCAAATATCCAAACAAAGATAGATCGAAAACGCAATTAAATTCGATTATATAGGGCCGGGGCAATCTTGTTGGCTTGTTTGTTCTATTCTATCATTAAGAAACGGACGCTTGATAAAATTTATAACTCTATCTTAGATAAGGAGTTAGCGTGCGCAAAAGAACGACAAGAAATCGAGATGGCAGCACAACGCGCCACTTTACAGGAACAACGTACACACATCGATATATTGGACACAGCACTTACCAATGCACAAGCCAATGTCGTGCGCCTCGAGGAAGAGGTATATAAGACTGATATAATCTAATTGATAAATATTTTTCGAACGAGCCGGCTCGAAGAATCAACTTTTACTTTTTAATGATACGAGTCCTTCGAAGGCACGTTTCTCCGTATCTTTTTAGTTTTTTACGAATTTACTATTGAGTTTTAAAATCAACCAACCTATTAGCATATTTTAATTGCAAATACAGTGTCGCCACGCTAGTGGGTACGTGGAACGTGTGATGGGACTTCAGCGGGCACTTGCATCATTGCAACAGGCGTCAGACAGACGAGAACACACGGAGAGAAAGCTTCGCGCACAATTGGAAAAGGAACTACAGACACTCAGGTAAATAGGAAGCTTATTGAGATAGATGTATCCAATAAGAGTCAACATTCTGTTATTTTTATTTCATACTTTTCGATGGGTACTTTACCCCGAATGACCGATGTCCACTACGATAATTAACCCGAATATCCAAAGCCAAATCACCTCCCATATTAAGTGGACGCCATAATTATCTCCTCTAAAAAACAAAATGAAAACAGGAAACGTGAATGCACCTGTGGAGGTGTGGGAGGTAGATCAGGAGGTGTTGACGGAGCTGGCGAAGAAGCGGAATTGCGAAGACAAGTACGTGAGCGGGATGAGCGGCTCCTAGCTCTCGAGGGCGAGTGCGCTAAATGGGAGCAGCGGTACCTCGAAGAAGCTGCCCTTCGACAGGCTGCTGTCTCTGCTGCATCCATACCGAAGTGGGTTACGTCATAGATTCGTTGTACTTATAAGAGCTATTGGTCTGCCCAGATTTACCCCAGCTTTATCACGTTGATATAATGGTAGCAATGTATGGCTATAATCAACGGGTCGTGGGTTCGATTTTCGCCGGATCCAACATTTTTCTAATAAATTTAGAATTTCACTGAAACCTGTTGGACTTAGGTAGTAGGAATATCGAAATTCCGTCTATGTCCCGAACCACCTCTGCTCTACCGGCTTAAGCGTTTATTTATATATAAACATAAGTAGGTCGACAGCGCATTTCGTTTGACCATGTAACAATGGCAAAGATATTCACCTACCATCAACAATGAAATTGTCATTGTTTTTCGTCCTCGTCATAAAAAAAAAAAAAAAAAAAAAATAAAAACTTTTTGTCGGGGCTTCCGTTCCACGCAATTTCACGTGTCATTCGTTTGTAGAGATAGAGATATCTTTTTTATTAAAAAAAGTTCATGGCTACTTACCATTAAACATACAGAGACGCGAAGATTGCTGCCCTAGAGAAAACTTCAGCTGAATCAGAGCGTTTGATGGCGGAAGTACGGAGTGAGAAGATACGGCATATGGATGAACTCCACTCGGCTCAGAAGAAGGTGGCTGATCTTGAAAGCCGGTATGGATGTTTTTGGGATAATTTATATTTATCATAATTCATCTCAAGGTACTTAAATTTTTAAATAAAAGAACTTTTTTTAATCTATTGATACATGCACCATCTCGCGCAATTTCGTTTCAAACTTAACACTAGCGCATTGAGGTTCAATGTCTTAGGCTTTGCAGCTTAAGAAAATCATTGACGATGAAATTACAAAGTTCAACGCTTGAAAACATTGGTATTTATCACACGTCATTGCACATGATGTTATATATTTTATAAAATAAAAATCTATATTGGATTGAAAAAATGTTACCACAAGGGCAGAATTTGAACCGGCATCTACAGCATACCGTGCTGTTGCTCTAACCAATTGAGTGACTCTGTCCCACACGTCATCGTTATTTTTTTTTAAACCTATTGATACATGCATCTCTCGCACAATGTTACACCTTAACACTACTATATTAATAGCGTTAGCTAAGCTAAGTCAAGCGGCTAAAGTGTTGTAATATTTATCATTTTTTTTGCAGGGTGAAAGAGTTGGAATCAAAAGTTGCGGAACGCGACGCCATGATCAAAGTCCTGCAGAAGCATACTAGTGGTGCTTCACTCCGGAATAATTCCAGTCGGGAGGAGCTAGGTATATATTTATGTAATATATATAACATTAAAATATCGCTTACTATGTTTTTCCTTAGGTAGACGGTATAACTAATTACTATTTAGAAAACTAAACCGAGACTAATATAAATACGAGGGTTAATTTTAATGAGTTTTAGGAAATTCACAGTAATCATAGTTTAACAATAGTCCCTGTTACACAGTCATTTAACATTGTTAACAATTTAAATAAAACACTTTAACGGTTTAAAACGCGATATATTAGTTAAACTTATTTGAAAATGATTTTTAACTTCGGCCCGACGATTCGGATGCTTTGCAGCAGCCGTGGTCACGGGGTCATTTCCAAACAAGTTTAACTATATATATCGCGTTTTAAACCGTTAGTGTTTTAATTAAATGTGTACTTCTCGCGTTAACTATAGACAGTATTGCTAACAATAATTATGTTATTAATAGTTGAATATGATTGTACTTACTTTTTATAAAATAAAACATTGACCTATTGCATGAATTGCCCACTAGCATGGATTGAAACATTAGCTTTTAATAACTGATAAAATAACTTTAGATCTGTTAGTATTGACGGGTATTTCATGAACCTTAACTTTCACTCTAGTGGGTCTGTCATCTGGTGCGTCCTTCTCGAGCACAGAGGGTGTGAGCGGTGTCAGTGGGACCGGAGTGTCTGGTGTCAGCGGCCGCTACAGACACCTCACTCGTCGGAACTACTCCCCGCACAATGATAACTCTAGCGGTGAGGTTTATAATTATTACTATAATTATATATCGATTTTTCTAAATTTGATTATACAGTGAAGCCTGGTTAATGGGATATCAAGGGGCCAAGATATATGTAGCAATTATTGAGGGTAACCGATAATCCAGTTTTCCAATCAAAAAGGTTTAAAATAAATAGACAGGTAATTGAGCTACAGAGTCAATTATAGAGGAAAACTTTAAAATATTTTCATAATTAATAGTTTTTTGAACCTGGTTGAATACATTGAATAAGAACTGGAAATTCATCGCGACTTAATAATAAAGGTTTGTCATTTATCCCGGTCCTACTTAACCAGGTTTTACTCTATATCTTTAGGATATAACTATAATATATTGTTTTTGATAACAATAAATAACCTCTTCTATAAAGACACTACAAAGGCATTTTTCGTTTGTGTTACGACAAAGCGATACTGTATGGTACATGTAATATAACGAATCGCGTCAAAAGTAACGTTTGTTGTTTTTCATTGAATCATGACATTACATTACACATTATGTTATGTTCCTTTATTTATATTTCTTTTTGTATGTAAAAAACCACAGAACCAGTAAAGTTTTTCTCCTATTGTACCTAAGGTATTATAGCAATTTTTTTTATAATTCATATATTTTTGAAATCTTATTCCAGGATGTGGCTTCGACAGCACCTCCTTACGTCTTGAGGAGCAGCTGGCCGCGTTGGAGTCGCGCCTGGAACGGCCTCCAGTGCCCGCCGTGAGTTTCCTGCCGCAGACCGACGCACGTCTGGCGCACTCCCCGCCGCATGCATCCTACTACTGACTGCTACACTCACACACCCATTACTCAACACAAAGAATACACTCACACATAACAATGCAAGACATTCAGTATGTATTTGAGTCGATATGTACTTTTATTTTTTGTTAATATTAGAGACGTATTATAAAATATGTATGTTAAATTGTGTGAAAACACTTACCAACATTTTCAAACACAAACAAAGAAAAAGTTTTATAACAAATGAACGTATTTATATACGAAGTCATTTGTTTCTTGTGAAATATTTCAAAAGGAAATGAGGAACATCGGTGGTTATGTGTTACAAAAGTTCAAAATATTTCTTTACATTGAAACATGAGCCTAATACGAGATTGCGTATTTCTTAATGTGTATTTGTAATATTTAAATAATTTTATGTTTGAAAAAAAAATTGGAAATTGGCGGAAATCTAAAATGTAATTTTACAGTACTCGAATTTAGTTACGTAAAACATATAATACTCGATTAATTTATCGTCTATGGTACATAGAGTTACTTCACCACTAACGCTTAGCCCAGTAGTTGTGTGTGCTTCTAACAAACAACACACATTCCATCACATTCCTCAAACAGACATACAGTGTATAAGTTATCCGTGTTTTGTGTGAAATTTACAGCTTAGTAACTTGTAACCAAATCTTGTTTTATTTTTTTTTATGCAGATTGTGCGATTCAGTTTAATTTAAAAATGAGGAGAGTCGCTTTTTTTTTTCATCCTATTTAATCCTTCATTGTAGCAGTCTATAACTTCTTAGGACGAATTTCATCGGGAAGTAAATGCATTAAGTTGAAAAGTAAATGGTTTTCGAAGTCTAATTTTGATTTAACTCTTAAAAAGTAACTGGGGATTAGCTTTTACTGTTTTTTGGTAGGTTTAACTTAGTTTATAATTTATGGCATAGTTTGTCTTTAAGGTAAATCAATCAGTTTCTCTCAAAATAGGCGATTGGTTACTATTATGACTATATAAATAGATTATTCTCAATTATTCGTGATTATTTATGTGTCGAAGTTCTAGTTTGACTCAAATTCATAGGTCTACCACGTCTTCATTAAAATATGGATGAAATGAAACCAGAATATTGTAGAGCCTAAATAATGATGAAAAAAGTGCCTTGAACGTTGCCTTAAATATACTGGTGCCAATCCAACTCGATCATTTTAGGAATCTCTTAGAAAATTCTAAATATTTTTCCGCTAGTCGTAAAAAATATAATGATGTAGTTAACTCCTTTTGGGTCGTTCAAGTATTACAAACAGTAAATTTATTACGAGAACAACCCCTTTCCAAACTTCTTCTCAGTCTACAAAGGTAGGCAAAGTTGTTTCTTACTTTCCGTTACAACAAATTTACTTCCTTACTACTACCGACGCAATCATCGAGAATCAAGGACCACAAAAAAATACGCCTCCCCCCCACAGTGCTCACGTAATACTTGACCGGCCATTATATGGATATTATTAAAGGTACTATGTCGGTCACGAAAATATACCAAAGTTAGTATAAGGGTACCGTTAATGGTGTAGCTTTTTTATTCAATGTACTGAGTGCCTATCAATATGGATTTGGCCAAAGCCCAATTTCTGGGATAAAAGTGCTGTTAAATTAATACTAAAATGTTTTATATTATCTTCAATATACTAAAAAGTATGTATATTAAATATTTTTGGAAATAAAAAGTTACATTTGTTTTGGCAAACTATACTTCATCTATTGAAACCTTTTCTTATCTAGACAAAGGCCTGTTTGTTTTATATAGTTATGTATAGTTAATTATTGCTAAATATCTATTTCCTCTTTTACACGAAAGACGAATTTATGATATTTCTCAATAAAACATTAACGTTAAGTTACATTTTTTGTTCTTATAGCTTCGACGGCTAATTAAAAGGAAATGTACGCCAGATTATTTTAATATATTTTGTATTCGCTTTATTTAAGGTAGGGCATGTTCTTTAATAAAAACATGTTTTGTTTGTTGTGGTTTTACTGATTGTCCTAACATTTAGTGGCTTTAAGATTAATACAATATTAACTCATAAAATATTTGAAAAACCCGCCTAAGTTTTTAATAGGAAAATAACAAATTTTATTAATCGTCTTAAATAAAATGTCCTACACGTTTTTCGGAAGTAGACAATGGTCACTAGCAAAAGATATGAATTCTATGTACAATACGTGTAGTTACAATGGAGGTTTGAATGAAAAACTAAACGTCATCAAAAGGTAAGAATATTTAATGGTATATATTTGTTTACACCCCCAACTAACTTTTTTGCAATATATTTTCTTGCGTCATTGCAATCAATCTTTTCTATACAGCGAGGTTTGTGCTGTTTCCCTGGCCTGAGCACTGTTGGAGCTAGAGCAGGAAATGGGCGTGGAGAAGAAGCATTGCTGCTCGAACGACAGGGTCGTGCCTCGCAGCAGACGCGATCTTCAAGCCTGCCTCCACCTCCGTCCGCTTTGCCTAGGCCTCCCAGGAAACCCTCAGCACGAACCACTAGATACGATCGATTGGAGCATAGAGATGCACGCAAAGTTAGTATAGGAATCCTATTTTTATATCTATACAAATATATAAAGCTGAAGAGTTTGTTTGTTTGAAGGCGCTAATCTCAGGAACTGGTTCAAATTGAATTTTGCTGGTTAGAGCATGTATCAAGCAAGGCTTTAGGCTATAAAACAACACGATGCAATTCATAACAGCGAAGATAAAGTGCGAAATGAAGAAGAAACTGGAATAATTATAGTATGCCCTGTGAAAACGATTCAAGATACCCAAAAAGTTGTAAAAAATAATTTCTCTTTAAATGATTTTAAAAATGTCCGCGACATAATATGTCTATCTTTTAAGGTTAACTTGCATAAATTTTGGGCATCAAAACTGAGTATTCTGCGTGGACTAAGTCGCTGACAGAGGTTATGTATATTCTATAAGTGATATATGCTAATATTTTGATTGTTGAATTTAAGGACTCAGATGGGTCGGGCTCAATTGCATCAACAGCATCCCGCAGCTCGCCACTACCGTACGATGCAGTTCGTAAGCTACCATCAGTGCCAACATCCGCATCCCTCCCGGCTGCTGAATCTCGGGAGTCACTCGTACGGCCGCGAGACTCCAGCCTCCCTTCGCCCTCAAAATTGGCAGTCTACGCAGCGGCTAGGCGGCGCTCCGCTGAATCAGCTAAAGACAACAAAAGAACCCACCATTACCGTATTCAGTTCTAATCCTACGTCGCATAGACAAGAATTTAAAGACAGTAAAAACAAACTATGACACCTAAATTGATAGATACCGCTTATAGAATGATTTGGACTTGTATTTTTTTAAGTTTTTATTTGTGTTCGACTAACATTGTTTCTAGTAAAAGTGTATAACAGAGAACACGTAGTTGAAAGTGCTAAAGATAGACACAATACATATTATTTTTCGACGGGCTCGTCGGGGAAATCTTGATTTAGAATGGGTGTTAGGAATATCGAAATTCCGTCGGGGTAACGAATCACCTGCGGTCTACAGATGAAAATGTCGTAAGGTTTAATCACGTTTCGGTTTTAGTCTGTGGATTTCCGAAAAACCAAAATAGATCGATAGCGCATCTTGTTTAGATGCTATAGGCTGGGGATTTTCTCTTCTATCCTAAAAATTTAACAGACATTTGGCCATCAAATGGTATTAACATAAATTGGAGTTTTGAGATTCAGGTCTTCTGCTATAAGCATATTATTACTTAGTGGGTTCTACTAGAATGGAGTCTATTAATATCGTCACTGGTCGATACGGTGTTGCGGTTTCTCGCTGAAGTGTAACCACTGTGTAAACAATACTCGTAGCGTCATATGTGTAAAGCAAAAATGTTTTAGGATTTTTGAGGCGTATTCACAGTTTTCTGTAGATTTTAAAAATTGTTTGGCTTTAAATAATGTATTAGTTTAACCTTAATTTAGGAAAACGGAACTATATTTACATTAACCTTGTGTGTTGGATGATAAGTTTTACAATTAACGCCTATGAAGTATTGCAATTCTGTTTTGTAAAATGCACTGGAAATACTGTACTTAATTATTTATTGTTGTTAACGAAGCGCAATTTATTTTCGATTTTTAAGCGATGTAGCTGTCACCACGCTTAAAACAATTAATTTAAGAACGGTAATAACGCTAAAATTCTAGTCTACATCATTCGAAAAACTTACGTCTCTATCGCCTTACCGTGTTGTAGTTTCGCAAAGATTGCTTTTAATTATTCAATTGTTTTGCTCTACGTGTTTTATAGAAAAAGTTAACATATACAACTATGTATAGGCCCTAGGCCATTATCGTACTGTTTTACATTTGCACGTTTTGTTACATTATGATTTTATTGGAGCTTTAGTAAGATACTGAGTTAAAGTTTAATGTACTACCGTTTCCAAGGTGGTCTCCCTTTGACACTCTTTCTATTAGTTATGGATATAACGTTTTAGTAAGTTTTCGCCAAATGTAAATGAATTGTGAAATACTATTTTACTAGTCTACTTTTTAGTATACTGACGAAGTCTCCTGGCACTCAAGATAGTGAGCGCAAAGGTATTAATTTAATCCTATTTACCTAACGTTGCATTGATCAATGCTTATTCAGAGGCTGCCTGGGAATTGAACCCAGGACGTCTTGTGAGAGTGTGTGTGCCAGAGCCAAAAAGTAGAGGGGTATAATTGTGCATTACTTACTTGCATTTCATGGTATACTTTCAGTGTTCTTTTCATTACTTCATTTGTTTAAGTTAGTGTATATGGAAGGTATATAAAACTGCAAAAACAAATGTCTACATAAATATTGTACGTCGTTGCATCTATTTCTGTGAGAAATTGTTTGTACTACGATAGGAAAACTTCGCTCGTTCTATGCTTAATGACAAGAATTTCTAAATTTAATATTTATATTATGTTTGCAGAAGTGTGTAATTGAAGCAGGAATAATTGTTTTGTTAATAATATTTATATAACTATTATATTGTATCTTGTAATTTGTTTCATTCTTTTCTTTACTTGATGTATGGAAAGCTTTTTCTACTAATTCACGAAACAACGTCACGCTACCACGATTGTCTACAAACTTTTGAAATATTACGAATATTACGCACGTAAAAACTAAGTAAGTAATTAAGCCTTTTTTAGTATTATAGGTTTAAACAGTAAAGTTTAATAAAAGGATATTTGTAATTTTTGGGATGAACATTATCTTAGTGTTACTTCATACTTCAAAACATACCCTAAGTAATTAGTATCTAAAATTAAACCTATCAATTGTACCTATTTAAAATTATCAAAACAGAAAATAGTACAGGTGGTGCCATCTAGTGACATTTTAATACTTGACCTAAATTTTTATTCGACATTATCACCCCATGCTAGTTGTAAGATTTGCTAGGTTTATTGAGTACTGGCTATCCCAGTGACCTCGTCCGCGAGAATAGTTATTTTGGGTATCAAAATTTGTTTTTGCAAAAATCATAACTGATACGAACGACGTAGTCCGCGTGCCGTCGTTTTTGCAAGTTAATCTTTAACGATAGACATATACTGCTGCAGACATTTTTTTACATCATTTAAGGAGGAATCATTATTTCATACATATTTTGGGTATCTTGAACCGATTTTACAGCACAGGCAATGGAAACCCTTAAAGATAAATAATTTTCCCCGTTTCTTACACATTTCCAACTGTATCTTCGCCCCTATTGGACGCATCGTGATGTTTTATAGCCGACCACGAATCAGTAGTTCCTGAGATTAGCGCGTTCAAACCAACAAACTCTTTGGCTTTATATATCCTTACTAATATTATAAATGCGAAAGTAACTCTGTCTGTCTGTTATTCTTTCACGCCGAAACTACTGAACGGATTTGAATGAAATTGGGTATACAGATGGTCTAGACTCTGAGAAAGGACAAAAGGGGGTTGTTAGGGGTTAAAAGGGGGGTGAAAAGTTGTATGGAAATTCGTGGTTTTCTTTCTTCTTTGGCTTTTTGAAATAGGAGTGGGAGTTAGAGTGAGGTGAGAGTGTTGCGGCAAAGTAGCACTTACCATAGATTGGCTGGCCTAAATGCGCCCTCACATAAATTAATAAACAGCCTCAATAATTAAAAATTCTACCGCAAGTCACTATGCCACGCAGACGAAGTCGTGGGCACAGCTAGTTAGTTATAAAACCAAACGATACTAACAAATTGTAAACTCGTGATAACAAAGTGTGTACAGTCTATCGACCCACGTAAGATTCCTCATGAATTATGCTAGAAAGCGGTTTTCCCGTCAACACTTTCGTTGTGCGGTACAATATCTTGTTTAGATACCGTTTGTCAAGTTACATCGAGTAACTGTAACACTGAAGATGGTCCGTTTATTAGTGGCCTCGATTTTGGCTGACCGCTTCTTTCATCCAGCTTTACATTATATCAAGGTCAATTTTAAATTGAAAGATCAATGATACGGGACTTAAACTCATGGCCAACAATATATTGTGACGTCAACCTATAATAGGTTCAAATCTCGCTCACGTCAATTTATAACAGCTCTTATTGGCCCACATTTATAACTATTACTATACGCAATTCTGTCTACAGTTTACGCGAGTAATACACATTTAAATAAAACACTAACGGTTTAAAACGCGATAGATTAGTTAAACTTATTTGAAAATGATTTTTAACTTCGGCCCGACGTTTCGGATGCATTGCAGCAGCCGTGGTCACGGGGAGACTAAATCTTTTTCAAGTAAGTTTTACTATATATCGCGTTTTAAGCCGTTAAAGTGTTTTTTTTAATATTACTATACGCATTCAAATATAGGATACAGGTACATTAAGAGTATTTTGTTGTTGTAAATTATACTTAGTGTTAACAACATGTTGTTTGTGTTGTTTATTTTGATGTGTCTTTTAAAGAAATCTCTATACTTATGTAAATAACTTACTAGTAATCGTAACTATATAATGGTGTAATCGTTACAATGTATGGCTAATAATTAACGGGTTGAGGATTCGATCACCACCGGGTCTAACGTGTTTCTGATCAATTTATAATTTTCCTGAATCATGTTGGACTTCGTCTGGAAATCTGGATATTAAATGGGCGATAGGGATATCGAAATTCCGTCTGAATTACGAACCATCTGTTCAGTCTGTAAATTTCCGAACATCCAAAGCCATAATAGGTCGACAGTCATAAGATTACCTTCCATCATGTGCATGCTTGTCTTTCCTCTTCCACCATAAAAAAAACTTATTCGCTGGACTTAGATACCCTCAGCGTTTGTTTAAGGACAATTACTTTAATATTTAGCAAATGCAAATAAAGCCTTGATCCTGACATTATAACCAAATGAATTGAGGCCAAGCGACGGCCTCGGCTCGCTAGATGGTTGCGCAACGCAGCGACTCATGACGGGGAATTATAGTTTAATGCCTACTTAGAATTGTTACGAAAACCCACCATTCTCCCAACTATATATCTATTATGCGTTTAGAAATCGACGCAATCATTTTAAATTTAGCGCGTATTAGTGTAGTTTACGGGTAACCCAATTAATAAAACAAAATATGTTTAGAGTCGTTTGAAAACTTTATTATTTTTTACATGTTATTGCACATGAAGGCACTATATAATTTAAAAATCGAGGAACGAGAGCGACAGCACGGAACGCTGACGATGCCGGTTCAAGCCCGAGTCGAAATTTTTTTCAATTTATTTTCGATTTTTATATGATAGAGTCTTTAAATAAGAGTATTTACACAGCGAAATATGCTAGTTTACTTATTTTTTAATAATATATTTCGCATCTTATACCGTTACAAGTGTTCAATTCTTCTTTAGAGCTCCATTTAAACTGGCTCGCTAGTTCATATATACCACATTAATACTTTTTTATAGACAAATCAAATATTGTCCAAACCGATACAGAATTTTAAATAAAAAGCTGATTTCAACATTTATTCCAGATGTAAACAAAAATATTGATTTCAATTAAGAATCTTTAACGTTTTATCTAAGGCACTAGCTAGCTTCAAAAGTAGCGTAAATATTCTACTATCTATGTACTTATATATATAAATTAAGATAAACTGCACACTTTCGATCTAGTTTTTTTTTATGAAGTATCAATTTTAACAACTGCTACTGTCCTTATCTATAAAATTTTATGTGAAACTTGTCGAACATAAAATTTTGTATATACATAATATATGCACTATAATAATATAAGAACAACAATTGCAATTTTTACGCCCCCACGCTTCCTCCTCTGCACAGAAATAGGTTGACATTTTAAAATTAATAAGTTTAAAAGGTCAATACGATCGAAGCATGTACGCAAGGCACAAATTTTCACGTAGAATATTTTATATGGCATATAGTAATTAGTAAAACACTATTTATGTATTGTTCAACGTGAACAAATGTACAACAGGAATTTACGACACGCTTAGAATTTGGGGTACAGAACATGTAATAATATTTTTTACTTAACATAAATAATTTTACGACTCTACATTTAAAAGTGAAAGCCCGTTTTCCCCTCGTCGGGCATCAGGCGAACACATTTCTGTGTCCCTTTTTTAACGGGCATGTAGTTGATCAGACTTCTGTGCCATGCCCGACCTAAACGATTTTATGTTTCCCTGGGATTCGAACCCAGGACCTCTCGCGCTTAACCAAGAGGTAGTTGAATCCTTGATTGGCCGAGTCTTTAGGCACAATATAACTTTTAATCAAGAATAAGCACGAAAAGGACTCTCCTTAGTTGTGTTGTATAGGTGAGTGTGGAACACAAAGATCGACAACCCACAGGTAAAGGCGGAGCCGGAACTTGAAGTAATGCATTTCATTGATCGATGCTGCACGGCACAGGCGACATATAGTATGTGTTTGTTTATTTACGGTCTGCGGTTATTTACTGTATTATAATAATGAATTTCACCTTAACAGTATAACAATAGTAGGTAGTTCATAGCAGTTATAAAATGTTAAGAATTTAAATCCTAAGTGTTTACGTTTAGCTATCATTTAACTGTAAACATCGACAACTTTTAACAAGTTAAAAAACTTTGTGATATCGAATATTCAAGGCCCAAGTTTACTTATATCTTTACGTAATTTATATATAATATTAAAACTACATATTGTTCAAGTAAAATTTGCCCCTTTAAAAATTCTTTACATAATTCAAATTGTGTAGAGGTAAATGTGGAGTCAGATAATCGATTCCTCTTGACCTAAATACACCGGGTCAAAGCCATGTTGCCGGCCGAATAACAAGTCGATCTTCATTTTAGTTTGCTTAAATTTCAAACCACCTAAATCAATACGTTGGGATTATAATATTTTTTTAAACTAAGTATTAAGTACATAATATGTCAAATTATATCAAAATGACATAACGATAGAAAGATACGGTATTTTGTATCAACCTATAGTAACTTATTTTACTAAAGTTAAATTATGTAAATATTATAGAGTTTGATTGTTTTATTACTTAAAAATAATACTTTTAAAGGTCTTTATAGCTACCTGTTTCTAATTACGAAATCTAGGCAGTACTAATTGTATTATTATTAATAATAGCTACTAAAGGAACATCACTTATATATTATAACTGTGTATATAACGAAAATAATAAAATGTTTGTGGCAGCGCCCGCGCACGCTAACCCAATTCCGCTGGTATCAGCTTTCACAAACTCACTCGATGACGCGACGGTTGCGTCACATCTCACTAACGGTACATGTGAACTGCTGCTCTGGCGACATTATGTCATTAAAGGGTAATTAATTGTTAAGCTCTTAGTTACAGTTATGAAATAGAGAACTACTACACGGCATTCCTTTCGCAGAGCCATAGAGAAGGAACACATTTTGGCATTCCACATAATATTATGTAAGTATGTTTGTGCCGTCATGTTTAAAAAAATATTTGAATTTAAACCGTAGATATGAACTGTTTTTAACGTTTTATGATTACCTGAACTTCATTTAGTACCAAGCAGTTAATTGAGCATTTTTATTTTCCTCCTTATTGAAAATCATGTTTTTTGTTAATAGGCCACTCTGCTTTAGCAGCCTTATAATTATAATTGCAGGTTTAAGTGATAGGTCTGATTGATAGCTTCAGCTTAGCCAAATACTAGAAATTAAAGCATTCGTGTTTGATTTTAGCATATTAGCAGTCATTGGTATAAATTATTAATTGGTGTACATTTCAAGAATATATGTATGTACAAGTATTTTGATCGTACCGCGTTGCTTATTTTGTCACATGTCTTAATAAGTAGCCCAGAATTTTTTTTTGGAACCCACAAAAAAAGCAATTTTGCGTTAAAAGTTTTTCTATCGCTAATAGCACTTTCGTAGCATGAGCCAAAAACAATTTATATCTTTTCATCTCTATTAACGTTTGTTGTTAATCTTGACACGTCCCTAGCATTCTGATTTTATCGGACTGAATACTGTTATTCAATACTTAATTTTGCTAAGGGACAGTTTTTTTTATACAAACAAGCATGGGGTTCCCTTGAAGGTACGTAGGTGAATTACTAATAGGTAGGTATAATATATTAACAAGCTGCGCAGTCAACCTGTTTTGACTTTGGGACCTGGAAATCCACAGACTGCAACCAAAACGCGATAAAACTTGACGGCTTTTTTATCTGTGGACGGAGGTTCTTGACCCAAACAAAAAAAATCGATATTCCTTCCACCCATTTAATATCCAGATTTTAAGACGAAGTCTGCAACATGTTTCAGAAAAAAATATAAATTGATTAGAAAAATTTTGGACCCTGCGGGGATCGAATCCCCCACCCGTTGATTATTAGCCATACTTGCTACCATTATACCAACGAGTTAGCACTAGTAGAACTATGAAAATAAGATTTTTTTATATAACTCTTCAAAAGACTTACAATTTTAGATAACACAAAGGATCCACGACTTTAGGACAATATGCCCGTTCTGAAAGGATTGAAGGAACATTGAATTTAGACTGGGGGTTTGTGACTTATAATACAGCTTTCAGCTTTATATAAAACTATCAAACATTGCATATAGTATGTTACCTTCGTGATCATTGGTGGTACTAAAAAACCGAAGCAGCAAGATGACGCTTGTCGTGAAAATCACGTGGAACGACTTAACTGTTTCCCACGTGTTTAACAATAACTCGGAAAGTTGTGCGAACCGCGTGTGAGGAAAGTCGAGTGGATCTATGCACTCTATGTACACAAACAACTGCATCTATTCAGGCATTTCCACTATCAGGTACCTTCAGACGTGCTGCGTTGAGTTATAAAAACAATAATTAATAATTATCTGTGTAACACATTTGCCTGACAACTCTCTAGTTTATATAGGCAAGGCAAAAGAATACATGGGTGAAATCATTTTCACTTATACAAAAATTGGCCACATGAAGTAATAAATTGATATTTGAATTTTATTGATTCTTTTGATCAAGAAAAATTGATGTGTCCTCAGGCATTTCCTTATAATCTGTGGTATGATATATATGACTCATTATCTGTAGGGCATAAATCGATCATAGTAGGTACCTGATACGCGAAGGCTGTGTCTAGTATAAGTATAATGGTTTCTAATTTATGTCCTAAAATCTTTGAAATCTACACGGGATTATCTATACTCTCATTGACGATAGGTAAACGGTATAGTTTGTAACTATGGAACTAATGACAAATGTGGCCAATTAAATTAGCCCTACCACAATTTATACTTTTAATGCGTATGAACAGACCATTATAACAGCAGTTTTCATCCATACTTCTCTCCCTTTCTCACACGTCGAAGAAACAATCTCCGTGAAACGAGGCGTAACCGTGATTCGCAGTAAAAAACTTAGAGAAATTTCCTTTGCCGTGAGTTTTTACTGCATGCAAATAGTTTTATAACGGACGGTAATCATTAACCGTTGTATTATAGAGAGATGTGTAATACAAAAAAAGCATTTTGAAACCAGAATTAAGAAGAAAACAGAAGGAGATGTGTACAATAAAACCATAAATTGATATAAAATAAGAAATAATACCTCGGATATTCATTTATCAAAATAAGGAAAATATCTTTTACACTTAAACATACTGGTACATACCGGATTTGTGGACTCCAAACTACGTCCAGCACTCCCGTACCTAGCCAAAAAAGTAGCAATAAAAGTGAAATGACTTAAATGAAAATATCCATCTTCTTTTTGGCCGAAGAAGTATTGGATTACGTTAAGTCTTCAGTTCTCTGAGCCTTCGTTATTCTTTAAAATGCTTTAAGGTGAATAACTTACCTATATATATATTTATTTTAATGGTACATCAAGAGTTCTAACCTGTTTATAAAATAACCGCAGAACCTTATTCGGTAACCTAAAAGTGAAAGTGGCAAATTAAATGACGTATGGTAAAAGACGGGATATCGTCGAGTTCGATACTACTTCCTAGGACGTTTAGAACGTCGGTATTGTTTCCTAGGATGTTGTTTATATGAAGTATCGACTTCCTCTGGTCTCCAAGGCCTGATATCATAGCAACGACCAACGAGATTACAAGTCGAGACAGTACAATAGGCAGCGGCACTCAGCCTGCTTTCGGAACTCTTCGGTTTGCTTCGTTCCCCTACACTACCCACGATTACGCAGAGCCTTGTAGGTGTAAATGAGAGCGCATCGTTCCTTCTCAGGCGCCTGCAGCCAATAGCTGTTCTCCATTAAATTAAGTGAAACAGTCTTCAGCGAGACGTTACCGTGGATGTGCGTCGACTCCGCGCTTTTTGTTTCGAATCGACTTTCAATTTTTGCAGTCTTTGTAAACTGTAGTTTGATAAACGTTTTGGCGGCGGTTGTGTAAAGTGTGCACGATTGACGCTTAGTGCGGAATCCTCTAGTGCTTGTGACCTGGACTCTAAGTGTCTTATTCGGTGGCGTTCATCCTCGATATCGCGAGGTGAATGCAGAGTACTGTACGAGTCAGAACGTTCGCATACGTGGAAGCAAACCGGACTGGGGTAAAGTACTTTGGTTCACTTATTTTTTACTCCGAATCGCTGATCGGAATACTGGCGGCGCGCTGAATACCAATGGGTACGAGGTCCAGGGACCTCGGTGTCGCTGCTTGATTTCTGATGTACCGTTACGCTTTATCGAAACTACGCACAGTACACATATAATAATAAATTCTGCTTGGTATGCTTTTGTAATTTCGGAGTTCTTATATATTTTTAGCGATGCCGAAAGTCTACAAGGAAATAAGTTTCTGTTAGTGTGTTTCAATGTCATCTATCGTATAATCATGTGGTTGTCTACGTATGCGGAAGCCAATATTCTTTAGACCTGCAAAACTTAGCAGATCGCGAGTTCTTTGTGCACTGCGTTTCTTCTTTCTTTAAAAAATACTTACAAGATAGACTAGCGAGAACTGGCATTGTATTCATGACATCGTACCTAATTACTTCACCATGAATATTAAATTTAGGTAATTATTATCTAAACAAAGACAAACCTAAACTTATGGTCTTAGGTAGGATTTGGGCGTGGCAATTGATAATAGTATATTGACATGAGGCGTCTTAATAGCGGAAATAAATAATAATACCTATCAATAGTGGGCAGAAATCTCGAGTTCTTCGACGAGTTTTTCTTACGTAACAAATAAATATATTTCATAAAACGGTTAATAAGTTAATAGTTATGGTTAAGCAATTACCTACCCGTAAAATAAAAAAAATATGATTATATAAAAGACGGGTTAAATTACAGTTTAAATAAAAAACCCGATGTTATGTTTTTACGTAAATATGTAGACTTTTAAGTACTAGAATTTTACGATATACTTAAGTAGAGCACGAAGTAACTCTTTAATATTTAAAACTATTTTAATCTTTAAATTAATAAGATATTTTTAATTGAACGGCAGACACGTGAACATCTTCGCGTTTGCTACAACATACGTAATAATACAACGAATTCAATCTTTAATTTCTTATTACACGTTGCTACTTGCCAGATAACTCGACGATCGCGTATCTGTTGTCGCCTTCTGAGCGCATTCGCATTTTAAAACTATATTTAGCTGTAGGACGCCTTGCGCAGTATGGACGAGTTACTCTGGCAAGTAGCAAGTAGGTCGCGAATCTCGATCGCAAATTTCACTTCACATTAAAAGAACGATACCTGTCCGTGCTTTAAATTTCTTCTTTCGTATAATAAAAAAATAAATTATACACACAAATAATTTTAATAACATTCCTTTGAAGCGAATTACACTTTTTCGTGTTTGATCGCTTCGACGAATGTTATATAAAACGGGTCAGCCACGGAGTTTCGTTGGAAATGAATCATTGGTATTTCGCAGTTTAAAATAAATCTATTTCTTACGATCTTTCGTTCGAACACTAACTTATGTTATACAAGTAAACGATTGAATTAAACGCTGCCTAACAATAACGCAACCGCTCGGAAAAGTGTGTCCAAATTACTATCGGCTATTGTATTCGGATTTGGCAACGGTAAAGAAAGGGCGATAGTGAATGACCGAAATGTAGCGTGAAAGATAATAATTTCCCCGCAGTTGAAGTAATGTCGTCAGCTGATAGGGCAGGGTTATTGCCCTCAACTTTTGTATCGAAGTCCGTGGACTAATTTATAAGGTTGGAGGGTTATCAGAGCGATTTTTAGCGATCGATTGCGATATGTTTGGTAAGTGTATAATACGATTTTAATATGAACATGAACAAAAAAATCGCATTTTGTGATGAAGATTCAAAATGAGGTAGGTATATCTTTACGTCACTAGGTACCTATGTACGGGTCAAGCGTTACGTTTATAGGGAGGACTAAGAAGTTCTAGCACTCGACTCTCTTCCTATAGCAAATAAATTCTGTTATCTGTCCAACATTTAAAGTAAGTTGTATATTCGAGCCCTATCATTTAATATTGGAACTATCAACAAACTACAAACTGTTGTACATTCTTAAGCCTTGGCTTGGTTGTATGTATAACTGATATATCTAAAATATATCATAAATTATTTATAGGGACACCCCTTTGCGTTGCTACAAACAAAGGGACATTAATTAAAATCATGAAATAAACTCCACCACCTTACTAGTTGGTACATGTTTCAGAGTTACGTTTTTAAGATTACTTTAAAGACAAATTTTCTTTACTAAAATAGAAAATTAAAAGTAACAACTCGGTTACATACCTACACGTCGATTATTTGCGTCAATAGCTGCTTGATATCCTAAAGTAAATTTATAAATATTATCTCACATAAACTGCTTAACAAACTTATTTCGTATATATACAACAGAACAAGGGTGCCGTAAAAGGAAATGGTCGTTTGACCGGGAGGCGTGAGGTCATTCCCACCCCAAGGTTGGCCGTTCAGTAATTGAGCAAGATTGCCATCTTCATATTTCTTCAGCGACGTACCATGATTTATCGATGTTAATCCGTTTCGTGCACCAATAAAGATCAATAAAATAATCTAAGCTAGGTCCGTAACCATCTTACGAACTACGAAACGAAAAAGGAATTGACATGACATGTCCCGTTTATCAATTCCAAAGTAAGTTTATAGCTGTCGTTTTGCGCGAGTAAATAAAATTACTTTAAACGAGATAAATGCAATTAATTTATTTACATTAAGTTAATGAATGAAACCTCCCCACACCTGCTGAAAAGCAGCCGAAGTGTCGCGTCGTAATTAAATTAATGAAATTAAATTGTGTTTAAATCGTTTTAACTAGTTTTAATAAGCGATATATACTGCGAACAATAAAAAAACTTGTTCAATGTTGCGCTTCAAGATAGACCATTGTCTTACAATGTTGTATGTCTGTAACGTGTAAATAATTGGCTTTATTTCTAAAAAAATATTATTAGTTATTAATTGGGTACTAAATAGTAATTGATTAATAGGCGTAGTTTAAAAAATAGCATGTACGTAAATTTAATACGTACTCTACATACATAGTCTTTCTCTAAGTAGGTTGTAGGGTAGGGTGTAACTGATTAGAAGAAAAAGGCGGGAAGTGTATAATTGTCACTTTCTATTGCTTTGGTCTCTATATTTGTAATATGGAACCTAATTTAGTATTGTAGGTTTGGGGCATCACACTATCTGTAAGGTAAACCATGCTTCTCTGTTACTCTGTTACATATAAAAAAGTTTTTGATTTAAATTCTACTCCCCCCGCTGTTACAAGCTGAGTCAAAACCCTTTCAAAAGTAATCTAAGTCAGAATTCTCGTCATTTTCGTTAAAGATGTAGGTACCTACGATTCATTTACCATCCATATGCTGCGGTATTTACACGTGACCTCGTCATCGATAAACGAGGAAGTAATATTGATGTTTTTACGCAAGTTCATTGCGCCCACTTTTTCGATTTCCAGTCTGAAGGCAAATGCGAGACAGACGAATTATTTTTTGATTAATGCTGCTCTCTTTTTTTATTGACATAAGATATGTATTTTTGTTGTTTTTATTAATTATTTGTTTAAATAAAAAATATTTTAAGCACAAACTAGTACTGGAACTGTAGTATATTTAGTTTCTTAAACTACCGTAAATTACTCAATACCTAATTAAAGACCCTCTTCTAAATGGTAGTGAATAGGTGAATAAAAATAAAATAAAATATACTTTATTCTCTTTAAAATTAAGAAAAATATTTAGATGCGTCAAAATTTTTTTTCGTTTGTCTGTCAGTTCGTCGTGTTTCTAGAGTGTTCAAAAGAGCAACAAAAGTGTGCGTAAGTGTTGTCATTTATCGAATTTTAATGTAAACTAAAGTGAAACTTAAAACTTATCGTAAGACTTATGATATGCTCTATAGGGAAACATCGAAACAGTTCCACCTCCAACGTACTGGTACAGCTATGACTTACACTTTCACCAGTGGCGGCCATCTTGTTGACGGCCATGACGTGCGCGCGAACCTCGTGAAGAATCGGCAGTCTGTGGTGTGCTAAAAAAAAACAAAAAATCTTTTTTTACTATATCAAGAGAGGTGTAGGCAGACTTAAATTCTAAGACCATGTTTTAATATTTGTAAAAGCTATGTAAAACTTGCGTACGCGTAATAAGGCAATCACTCGTCAGTTGTCACTTATTTGAATGGAAAGTTACCGGTAGGCGACAGCAACCATAGTACGGCGGAAATACATTTAAAAGTATGGGGGCTTATTACATTTAAAAGATTTATACGAACTACAGCTGACATTAGGCTTTCGCATAAACTTCCTTCCATAAGTGTAAAAATAATCTTATACAAATAGCTCTAAACACATAATCAATAAAATAGAAAATTCGGAGAATGTTGATAGATAACTTTTTTATGCCTATCAATCCTACAAACAAAATAATCTATCCGAGGAAGGTCTTTATAAAAAATGTGGGAAGTAACGAACTAACAATTTGCTAAGTGCAAACATATATTTTAGAAACTTTATATATTTAAGTTTATTTTGAAATAGTTGACGATTTTAAACATATTAAAATTGAGTAAGTTTAAATTTAAAAGTAAAAAAAAAAACATTACACGTAATATGTAGTATTTCATAAAAAAATATCTCTTATAAAATAAACGTAAGTAGTCACGTACGGGGACCTACTCAGTCAATTTTATTTATTTTTAATGTTTGGATCTGTCCTTTATCGAGTTCATTCACTTTCCCCGAGTTAATCAAACCTTCAAATTTAAAAAATAAGGTAGTCTAGAGGTGAATGTAATGTTCAAGACAACGATGTTTATCTTCAACGCTGTTGTAGGTAATCTGTACGATTTATTGATTTTTATTGAAAAATATAGTTTTAAGTTTTTATTTTTTAATTATTCCCAAACTCTTTTTTTTAGCAATATCACAACGCAGAAACATTCACCTTACATTCAAGTAAATTCAATTATGTGTCTACAATTAAATAGCATATTATTAAGTAATAAAATATATTTTAGCATCTCTTGTTTACTGGAAATTTAAGTAAGTAAGTAGCGCTCCC